ATAGTGCTGCTAGCACTTGGAGGGACAAATGCTTCCTGCCCCTGGTTTAGACAGTATATTCCTATTGCTGCAGCCCCCGCTGACTCGGGTTTAGTTTGCAGAGACTGACAATTAAATATGCTGCCCTCAAGCCAGGTGTCATCCACCCCATATTTGTGCAGCTGATTTTTCTGACATAAATCCAGAACTTACATTTCTTGAAATTCATTTTCCTAGTTTGGGGCCAATGTGCCTTATACTCTATTCCACCCTCATACTCAAGACAGCCCCCATAAGGAGCAACATTTTTGCAGGGGAAGGGGGGAATAGAGAAATTTACAAATATATACAAACTGTCCAGATTGAAAACATTCATGGGTAGCTGTGTTGCCATTTAGCAAATTCAAACGAAGATTCATTAGTGATACCTGTACTGGCCAACCAAAATGTACAATATACTTGTTGCAAGCTTTCAAAGCTCCATGGGCTTCTTTATCAGGCAAGATGTCACAAACCAAACAGGAGAAAAACAATTGGAGATGTTCATCAGATGCCTACATGTTGTTTCAGTCTTAAGTTAAGATGGTATATGGTGGGAAGGATATTTTTGCAGGCAGGCTTCTCCTCTTTCTGGCCCTGTGGCTATAGGGAGATTTCAAAGTCCAGGAAATTTAAAAACCACTTGCATTTCAACAGAGACCCCTGTTTTGCAATCCAATATGCCTCCATTCCAGTGAGGTCACAGGTCTCTTTGTGTCCAGATTGAAAGCTGATTTTATGAAATCTCACCTACTATAATCTTGCCATAAATAAATAAATAAATAAATATCCCTTGATTGCAAGCTGTATGACAAGAAGTAGAGTGTTAGCCTTGCTTCCCTTGGAAGGGAGTTCTAAAGCCTGAGAGCTTTCTAGATAATTTTTCCAAAAATTTGAATTTTGAATTTTATTTTTATCCTCTATTATTTTATACTCATGTATCAGTCTAGAGATTTTAGTCTAAAAATTGACCTGAAAAACTGAATAGACTTGTCTATGGGTCAATGTAACTACTACACATTAACTCTTATTAGAAAAAAGCCATCCCCTGGTGAAAAGCAAGAGTGTGATCTGTCCTGCAAGCACTGACCCCCCTCTACTCTCTCATCCATCCAGTATTGATCACAAACAGTTATGCCTGGTGGAATTTTGTAAGTTCTTTGGCATTGTTTTCTTTTGCTACATTTAGATCCTTTGTTACATTTTACCCTCAACTTATCCATAGGTCATATCAAAATCTATAATTTTTGTCCCAAAACCTGACTTATACATGCGGTTGACTTATATTTGAGTGTATACAGTACCTCTAGCAGCAATGTCATCTTCACATCTGATTAATATTCTCTCTAATTTCCTTGTCTTATTTGTAAAGATCTTGAATGTTATTCACAAAAGAACTATAATGAACTTGTGGAAGGACTAAGGACACTGTCCCAAAGCTCCCTGCCACTTCAAGATCCCCTTTCCTAGTTGCATTGCCTGACAGCTATTGGCATAAACTTTGTGCTACTCCCCATTCAGCATGTCTCTTCTTGCTGAATCTGACCACAATAACAATAATATTCCTAGTCAATGGGAGCTCTGGTTTGTATATTTGACAAAGATTTCCTGCTTTGGATATTTTTACGTACTTAGATGTTCATTATACTGTTGGTTGTGTTCTAATTCAGGCATATGGCTGCATTGAGAATAATCATGACAAAATTCCAATGTATCTTGGACAGAAAAACACTCAGACATGTGAAAACCTAAAGCAAAACCCTTACCAAAAAGTTTTCACTTTTATAAACTTTTATGAACTTTGTTCTAAATGAAGAATCAGGTTTGATCCCATTTTAGCTAACATGTATTCATCTCACCCAGATGGCCACGATGGGAACTTGCCAGGGATTTTCATGAAAGACTTGGTCTGCAGTGGGGCCCATTTCTCACCAACAATCACATGCTTCTGCTTCCAACTTCTTGGTCAGGTCAGGTCACTGGG